ACAAATGTTGGAATGACAATTTTCATCGCTGGATTCCCAATCTGATAGCCGTCTCACAGTCTGCTCCGGTGAACCGTCAATCTATAATTATAAATTGAATGTTTCAGCATATCAGAGAGTGGATGTCTGACAAAGATGAACAATGCCACATAGCGATAACCGATGGCAACTGAGTCGATCAGACCATGTTCCAACGATTGGATGGTACTTTGTCGGCAAATTCCTGCAGCATGCATTTACGTAACTGTTCCATGTGGTTAAATGCACCGGTTCCGGGAAGGTTTGGAGTTCGCATCAATTTTCCCATTCGATGTGTAGATTGAGTACTGATCAATTGGATGCATCGCTCCAACGCATTATCGACTCGAATAAAATTGATGTACTCGGCTTGGGGATCAAACTTTTGCCAGTAAAACACATGAAACAAAAAAGGGAAATTCAATTTATTTTGTAAAACAGAAGAATGATTGGAACAATTTGACGAACAGCTTCAATCCAACATTGACCCAAATCCCGAAGAAATCGATCGTCTCTAGTAAGTGGAATAAACACTTCTCGTGATGCATGTGTCACGGAAAGCAATGTGTACATCGCGTATTACTTATCACATATATTTCATCATAGATTTATGATGACAATTCCCATTAGTAAGGGATGCCACGTATCATTGCAAAGACTACCCTCTAATTAGGAAAAGTAGCATTTCAGCTTGATGAAAATGCACCTGCTACGAGACATTGTGCTTAAGTGATGTGACACTATGACGAAGGGGATATGACTTTGGCACACTGAACGTCACAGATATCTCTGTTGAAATGACCAAGAAAGGTTCACTTTCTAGTATGAGTAAGTTAATTTATGCAGTGTCACAAAACTATCAATAACTGGTTCACTGGGTTCAACTTCAAAATTAAAACCTAAAGTTCATCGTTCCAAAATAAACCCCGGTATTATATGGGAAACTGGTTTACTACAATTGTAACCACAAAAATACTGGACGCATGAGAAGCATAGATGAAACGGAGTTCGGTTAGGAACTAGTGTTCATGCTTGATATCACTGTCACAAGTCGCCTAATTTAGCCACGGTGAAAAAGAAAAAGCTGGAGGTAAAATATTACATTCAATGATGCGTAATATTGGTCATTTATCCTAAATTAATTAGTCCTTAACTCAACTGAAATGATTCATGCATGATTGCTTTTCTAGTCCGATCAGGAATCCCTAAATTTGGTAAGCACTACTTTTCAGCTGTTTTAATTAAGTGGAATACAAGCAAGCACATCACATTCTCGACAGCCAGAATTGGCCCACAGAACTCAATAATTGGTTCACGTCAGGTCAATAAAATAATCAATTCAGATATTGTTACTTTGTTGTCTTGATTTACAAGCGTTAGAGCTTTGACAACGCAATGAAATTCAATAGAAAAGACGAAAGTCACTTGTTTCAAACCGAATGAAGGTTGTTCGTGTTTGATCATGGTAAGTAAGACTGAGATCAGTTTTAATTGACTTATCATAGTGGCACCATTGTGCTGCCTCCGTAACCTAAGTTGCTCTACACACGACATGTTCTCTTCGCGGTAAGAGGAGTCAAATGAAGTGTTTGGTGTGCACAGATCGATGTTGAACGATAGTTCAGGACTGTGGTGGTGGTGGTGGTACTCAAGCGGTAAATACCACCAAATTATCCATCTGGTTGGAGGACGTATGTTCAAATCGCACCACTACCTAACTTGCTGCATTTCTGTGTTGTATAGTAGCCCTCTGGTTGGTCACATTCCCCTTTCCGGGAAATTGTATCATTGTGTACGCGAAAAATTTAGATAAAAATAAACAGATAAGATAAGAACACAAAGTAACTAAACCTCGGCATGTGCTGTGAAAGAATAGCTGATTGTTTTACACGGGTCAGGAGTTGGTTAGAGTTTTCCCACGGTCAGGTTTACAACATTGGGTTTTATCAATCCCGAAACACCACTCAGCATCCTCGTTTTGGAGGTGTGACTAACTCAGTGTTAAACAAAGCGTTTAAACGTTGACGACATTCACATTACAGTGTCCATAGGTGATAAACTTGTAGCGCATAGGTTCCACATATACGATTTGTACGAATTGATCGTTCAGATAGTGACAAACGGGCATCCGATAACCATGTACGTGTGTGTGTGTGTGTGTTTGTACGTCTGGATTTAGGCACCGTACCCGACTTTTATCGGAAACGATGAAATCCACTTTTGTCATTTGAAATCCACTTTTGTTCTACGGCGCGTCTGAATCGGTTCGTGTGCATAAACCTCACCACTCACGACTGTCAACTATGAAGATGATGCTGATCGCAATGATAATCGGAAGGCGCTAATAACGCACCAAAGTTGGAATTAGAGACACGGTTCGTATTTTGTTTCCTCATGACCTTTAGTTCAAACGGATTGAACGGATTGGTGAGTAACGAGCGAGATAAGTTTGAAAGTGATATCGTGTGTGTGTGTGTGTGTGTTTATGCTCAGCATTGATCCAACAGAACTTGTGCCTCTGCTGCTGCTGCTCAATGTCTAAACCGATTTAACTGAAGTTAACCACAAAATTATACTCGTCCGGATGGAGCCATCCATAATAGCTTATTGGGTAGTTGTAGCGCAACCTACTGAACACTTCCGACTGCAATAAGTTAAATATCCTTCTTAAAGTACTGACCTAAACGGTGCTATCAAAAACATATTTCGTTGTGATTAATTTGGTTTAAACAGAAATTAGAGTTTATCGTTTGCAGTCTGGGAGGCATTCATGTTGAACGTTTCAATGACCAGAATCAGTCAATCAGGCATTTGTTTCTTTCAAATACTGTTCTACATTTCACAACACGAAGTCGTCCGGATTCTTCCCAATGGTACTCGTGTAACAAGTCATCTGAAGCCTAGTAAAGTCCTCGAAAAGCTTGACTTACACATTAACTCAAAATATTGGTGGTTCTGGACCCGGGCAGACTTCCGAAATCCATCCTTTAAATGGACGTCATAAATGTTATATATCCAAAATTCATTTATTCATTCTTCTTTGTAATGAAATACCTAAATGCATGTCTGCCAGTCTCTCCACCTAACTCTATATAATTAGCTTGCTTCACCTAACACATTTATAAGTTAACTTTGGTTGCAAAACGCTGATTTTGTGATTATGCCGGAAAAATCGAGCTAGTAAAAAACAGGAACAGTAAATCGGAGTATTGACAGTGAAATTTAGCACATCACAGAAGCTCATACTATTAAATTGCCATTCTGTCCAAACAGAAAGAGAGAGACTTACCATGCCGAATGGTGTTGCCGCGGTTTGAGTCATCAGAAACGCGAGCATACAGAGACCGGGTAAAAGTCTGCCCAACATGACGGCCTTGAGGATTTGAAATGCGTGCACGTGATGTTTTGCACGATATACCGTAGTCGCTTTGGTAGCAGTAGATCTCCTTCTCCCTCTACTTTTACTTCTAACCAACAGTACACATCTGACCGAGGCACTCCGGTGATATTTTATAGTTAATCGTAAACTGTTAGACAGTTGTAATTGGTCCACTGGTTTCGGATCACCTGATCCAACCGTACACACCTGCTGATACAGCTGGCCTCGTTCCAATTCTCCGTTATGATCTCTCTTGCTCTCAGCTGTGAACCAATAGAATCATGCCGTAGGTCAGAGATGTGTTAACAGACTGACCAGCCCAGGTGCCGGAGTTGCAACATACTAGATAGACATGATATCAGTTTTGGTCAAATAAAGAAACGCCCGTCAGACGTGCATTTCAACCACTTGTTTGTAGACTTAGTATATAATTGTTGGACCGTAACAAAAAAACATTTGCTCACTAGTGGAGAGCTCACAACAAATGATTCTGAGCTGGTACACATAGCAGAAAAATCTACGATGAAGACGTTTGCATTGTTACGCTTATTACTCGACAAATTGCTGCCTAAGTTATGCCCCACTCAAACCCAGGTTTGGTCATTAAATCTACTCACTTGCACTTTAAGTGACTGTTCTATTGGACATGGGGTGAAACGCTTGTCTGAGCTGTATAGGTTTATCGTAGAATCATCAGAACTGTTCTTTTATCCGCAATCTCAGACAATGCATGCAAGATCAAACCGGCTGCTTTTGTCAAGCTCTTCCAAAGTGAATGAACAAGAGATTTCTCATCGAAGCCGAAGCACCGCGTTTATGATCATCATGAAATCTGAAGCGTTTCTCCGAGAGAAACCCGGCGCATAATGCAAAGTTACCATAACCGTCAAACATGGTAAACCATTTCCCGCTCCGTCTGTACCGTTTCTCCAGAACACCAATTCCCCATATACATAATTACTTGACCAGCACATTCTCCCCACGTCACAATATCACAATTGTTTTGCTACAGACCTCCGCTTATTGCCAAGGCGTCGAGTATATCGTTCGAATTCGCTCATTCGAAATGAATTCTAAGCACATACCTGAATTCTCAGGTTATACCTGTAAATGTGTTATGCGAAACAAAGGAAAGATTTCTTCGTGTTAAAGGATCTAACTTTAGTGAAGATTTTTTTGCGGTAGAATGCTATCACAGTCATGCACACATACACCTATTTATCCATGAATTTGCTCAATCTTGTCGTACAATCTTAAGCTTATCGATTTGTTTCTCCTTTCTATTGATTAAAGTTTGAACTTGAAATAGTGTATAAGGTAGAAAACCGTGCATATCTTAAGTAGAGTAGAGATCGAATTCGAGCTACTGCTCTCTGATTGGTGGATGAATGATCTGGGTCTAAGAGGACAGAAAGATAATAAAATAGGAAAGTGACAAATGTGAATGTGAATTCCACAGCCAAAATTGTCACATTTATTTTCCAAATGAGCACCCCAATTCAAGGACATCGGGGGATGCTTTCAGGATGGTACAAAGTGTTTAATCAACAGAACGGGACATTTGGTTTCAAATGATTGTCCCGATCTCATTTATTTCAAGTTGGGTTTTAATGTGTAAACGTTGCAAGAACTCAGCTCAGTCCAGTCACACTAAACATATTCCAAGGAAATATCTCTGCACAGTGATTTAAAAATAACTTGAAGTCCAAGGTTAGGTTGAAGTTCCATTGTTACCGTACCCTTACCTTTGAAAACTAATGCAGTACAGGGTAAACGTATATATATATATATATATATATATATATATATATATATATACGAGATGGTATTTGTTCTACTTTAGATCCCGTGAAACGGGGACAGGAACGAAACCGTATCACTTCGACGTACAACACATGATGACTTTCTGCAAGATTCCCTTTCGCAATGTTGACAGGCAGAGTATGTGACACTCGAAAAGTTTCACAATTCACTCATTCAACNTCATTCAACAAAAATCGGAATACACAAAGGCTAATGCTCATTAGATTGCCACGTTAGACTTTGAAATCTTCCTCAAGTAACAATAGGGTGAAACAGCAGATACATAGATTAACCAAAAGTAGTAATAATTGATTGCTAAGCACGAACTGTTTGAGCTTTCCGCATACTGGGAGCCACAGTTTACTAACACAGTAGTGAATTGAACTGATGGGCAAAGATTGTTATCGGTGGTTGTATAAGACTATTTGACTGGGTTTACCGTAGATAGAGCATTGACATTTATCAATGCGGCGTGTGTAAATGAAGTGCACCAAGACCTAATTCAACGCTGAACACATTTAATTAGGATCTCAACTCAGTTTAGATTGGGAAGAAGAAAGCTAGGCTTGATATAAAGAAATGAACTGACACAGAACAAAATCATGTGCACAGTTCACAATAGGTGCAAAGTAAAGAATAGGAATTTCGCAGATATATCAAATATAAGGAGGCTGGAAGCTGCATAGCTCCTGAAGTAATAGCACACTATATAACTCAGTGAAACACCACAGAGAAATTTTGAATTTAGGTTTTTGCCATATGCGAAATTGGTTAGATTGAAAAAAAAAATGCCCAGTGAATCCGGAGTGATATGTTTATAATGTCTGCTTTTAATTAGGATAAAGCCACATGAGAATTATTGTCACAGAAGGCTAAGTTTACTTGTTAAGGGCACTGTGTAAAGTAACTGTTTCAGTTTGAAAACCTATCCAGTCAAGTGTTTAGTATGGGTAGGAGATAAAAGCCACCTTTGTGCAATCATGCTATGAGTAATTGAGTGAACCACACGATGGGAAAAATATCTCATTCAATAGGCTCCATGATGTGTGGCGAGAACTACAAAGAAAACCGTGTGTCGTCCTATCAAAACAGATAAATTTACAGTCATCAAGATTGTGAGTGGACAAAATTGCGGCTATGGAGCGATAATCTTCACAGACCGTCCTCCTCCCCCCCCCCGTCGTCCCCACTCCCCGGCACAACGATTGGCCAAACCAATGGATCCAATGCGGAGAGTTGGGAAAATACTCTCTGACAGACTTATTTGAATTTGTGGACCAGATGGAATAACTGGACACAACAAAGAAGCGTTTATTCACATTTGGATTTATTTCACTATTTACGATTATTTGCTTGAAGGAAACTATTGACAGTTTGTGTGACTATATGAAATACGGAAATTCCATTGGATTAATCAAGAAAACTTCTTCCGTATAGTACTTTCAATGTTTAATTGTAATTCAACGGTTGCTGATGAGGTCAAAAAGATGGAATAGCTATGGGCTCATCATTAGACCATCTATTCGCGGATATATTTATGGTATAGCTAGGGAAGGAGAAATCGTCTACTTGTATCGAGCGAGATGTCTTTTTCAGGCGTTATTGTGATGATATGATATTGTTTGTGATTTTGACAACTCTCAATATCCTTCAACATTAAAAGACAAACAAAATGTAATCGGTTCATCAAGTTAAACGAGAAAGAAACAATTATATCTGTGACGTTCTCCAGGTGCACATGACAAACACGGGAGAAGGGGGCAGGCCCATTCCAGAAATTTCCAATGACCTTTTATCACATGCAACGTGTGAAGTCATATTTCATCGTCACTATGTGGCTGAGGTCATGTTTCGGTTCATCAACCAGGTTTGGGTCTGGGTCAAGTTAACTGGAGTGCGGCAACCAACATTTTTTTAGCACATTGATGGGTTAAAGATTTTGATTACCATTGCCTTTGTCGTTGCCAAGTGACGGTGTTGTACGTTTGGAGCACTTTGTGGTTAATTTGGAAAGTATTGTTGTCCACCTGATACCCGGTATAATCGCAATGGACCACAATTGCGCTGGTTATTGTTTTCTTGCATACCGTTACTTGGCAATAACAGAACCGGTAACAATTAATATCACCACTCTGACTTGATTTTCACGAACAACAGAAGTTCAGAACAAAATGACCATTTCTGTCCTCCACATCCAAAGGCGATTCAGGGCGGAGGGGGTGAAGGCTGGATTAATGGGCCTGAAATTGGCGTTCATGCATTGATTAGTGGCAAGGTGACACTACATCCGCTATAGTTCCGTACGGTAGCGCTGATCGACGATAACGGTCAGCATATCATTAAATTGTCATTCATATAACAAAATACCTCATTTGGAAAGAGTTTACGGAATTCCCGCAAACACACAGGAAATGTAATATAACGGTCCACTAGCCGATACGCGTTCTCATGTTCACCTTATCAAACCGGAACAGTTTGCTCCAACAGGTCGTGTTTATTTTTGGTAGTTGAAAGAAACTGCTGATCGCATCTTTTTGCGTACTACTCACAAGTGAGTAGTATCTCACAACAGTCCAACAGATTGTTCCGACTTCAATACGTTCTTTCACGGAGTGAATGTAAACAGAAATTTAGTGTAGTAACCAATTCTCACAACAGATCGATGAAAGGACATTTCTCTCTATTGCACACTATCAATACTACTATAATCAAAACGGGACCGAACCCCGTCACGAATAAAGAAATAATAGAAATCGGAAGGTATCAATCTATGATAAAAAATTTCGAAAATATAGCTTGCAAGTTTTTCATCGACTGTGATAAAATATACAGGGAATATTGGTGCCATGTTAGATCCTGAAAATGGTTCTTGTTCAAGTCGAATGGAATATTCTTTAACCAGTCTAGCAAACGGTGTAGCTGAATTTCCCCTGAGAACAAAGTTGTTCACTTAAAATATGCCGATGACAATTTCCAGTTAGATGACACAACACAACCAGTTTAACAATGAAGATATTGACGAATCCGAAGATGGTCTGCGTCATATAAATGCCAAATGTGTGTACAAGACTGGCAGAAACCAAAGCCTGTACTCATTGTTTGAGTTGACTATCTATAAATAGTCGCGAACATTAAGCTCCTCAGGAACTTGAACGCACAACGCGGTGGAGTTGTTCAAGCGGTCC